CGCCCGTCCAAGGCCGCCGTCAACACCATCATGGAGGCGATTTTGTAGACGCCAATCGTGGGCCATTCGATCCAATATTTCGCCCAGGCAACACAGAGCTTGTAGTATGTGCCCTCCGGTTTGCCAAAACGTTCCTCCGTGAACAAATGGTAGGGAAAGCGCCGGTCGATGTACTTGTAGTAACTGTAATGGACCAAGCCATTGTTCAAGGCGCCGATCAGACCGGAACGCACCGCCCTCCAGGCCTTCACGCCCACGCGCTTGACCCCTCGGAGCCCGCCTTGTTCGACGATTTGGAAGTAGGTGTCCCCGGCCAGGCACAGAATGAAACCTTGGACAACGTTGAAGGTGATGGGGAAATTTTGCAACAGGGGCGTGAAAATGATGGCGGCGATGTCGACGCCGAACAGGGCCGTCGCCCCCGCCGCAATGAGGGCAGGATTGCCGTTGATTTTGCTGCGATACAAAGGGGTGGTGTGCGGACGTTGAACTTTTAAACGGCAGGATTCGGAGAAAGTGGCGTCCAAGAACCGGTATTTGTAGTGGCAGTGGGCCACAGGCTCGCATCGCCGGAGGCGGTAGTTGAAATGGCAGCCGTCGTCAGAAAGAGGCGTGGCGTCGATAGTTAGGTTCTTGGCGGCATTGACGGGGAAGAGCCCGAGCAGCGCGCCCAGAAGTAGGGCGGTACGGAGGAAAAGCGGGCAGGAAAGGAGACCATCCTTAATCCTTGGCCCCGCTTTGCGTCTTACATTGCTACTGGCCATGGGACTGGTCGTGTTGTTGCGGTGATTGAACTAGGGGAGCGTACGACAACACGAGATCACGGCTCTCAGGTTTCGTGCAAAACTGCGTCGCCGCTTCAGCTCCTGCGCCAGCTACGGGTGCTCTTCACAAAAGCGATGAATCGTGCTCGTAGCTACCTATTGGTGGCACCTGTGTCAGTATAGAAGCGCATGATTGTCATGAATGGGTGAGAAAGGTGACAGGAAATGGCAACCTCGAGCCCTGGAGCTATCAACGCAGGCGAAAGATTTCGTAGCTTTTCTATTTCTCTGTATGTTTTGCAGAATTAGGAGTCAATGACGTTGCGGAGCAAATATAATGCCTTCACTCAATTATGCCAAAAAAACTTTAGAAGCGGAAAAGCTGATGTAGGGCCAGAGAGCACGTGATGATGCTCGTTGATAGCCTCAACAACGCCGGAAACCGCGCGCATTCGGGGCTCAAAGCCTCCCAAGATTTTATTTCATTCACACAAAGCATGGCACGCACACACGCATGACCGCCATGAAAAGGGCAGCGAGACTCGGTCGCGGTTCAAAGGACCGCGCATTTCGACCGTAAGTCTACAGTGACCAATGTAAAAAATGAGCACAGACACGGGCGTGTCACAGGCATTGCGTCCCAAGCTTTTGGTTCGTTCGCGCAATTTTTGGTTTTCCTCCCCCCCCAAAGGTAGTTTGTAATGTATTGCCAGCCTAAGGACACGGATTGTCTCCTTTGTATCAAGGTTGCATGCGGTAATGTTGGTCATCGAAGATGCCATGCCACTTTCTTGTGAAGGCGATTGAGAAAGATTTTTTGGGGGGTAAATTTCTGGCTTGCAAGCTCCTTGCGTTTATTTTTTTTACTTCCACGCGTCAGACGACAAATGGGGACTCGTTGATCTTTTGCACGCTATGCTCTGGCCTGAGGGCACGTGATACTTCGTCCAGTGGTATGAATATGTGACATTTCACACAGCACTGGTATTTAAAAGGCATTGAGGACCATATTTCGTGATTAAGCCAAAGTGCTGAAAGACGTTATGTCATCCTTTGCTTGAAAACCTACCGTGCCATACTTCGCGAGGGCTCACCCACAATCATGTTGTGCACACAACGACTTTTCTTAACATGGGTTACAGGACCCGCACTATGTTCCCTTGGCCTCTTGTTGGTCGATCAAGCCTCCTTCTCGCCTCCCTCCTACTTGCCGCTGGCCATTTTCCTCGGACGGGTGTTGCCACGGCTCCCCCAGCTCTACCCTTGTCCGCTTCCGAATATAGTGTGGTCACTCTGGGCGACTCGTCCTCGGGTGTTAACGTGGATGTGTTCCTGGATCTCGTCTGTATCGACACCAAGAAAGCCTGGCCGGTGATAAAGCAAGTCATTCAAACCTACGATCGTGCAGTACAATGGCGCTTCCATCAGTTCCCTCTGCCCTATCACACGAACGCCTTTATAGGTAAGAAAATTTGAAAAGCAACTCACAGGAAATTTCCCCCTACCTTTCCCACATATTTTGAGCCACACACTGTTTTTTAAAAAAAACGCGGAGTGACAAAAGTGGAAACACCATGGGCGATGCTACGTGAGATGGATAAAAGTTTTGGAGTATCGCCTCTCTTCCTCCTTTTCTGGAAGTGTCCGGTGCCAGAGCGAATGCTGTTTTCCGCACATTCAGCTTCCCCCATCACTCCCCACTCACTCCTCCCCTTCTCCTTTTTCTGGCCCCCAAAGTGGCCAAAGGGGCGGTTGTCGCTGCCACCTACGGGAACGACACGGCGGCGCTCAGGTACATGGACATTGCCTTCGCGCGTCAGATCCAGGTCTCGAACGAGCTCACGCAAGGCATGACGTACAAGGCAGTGGAAGGCGTGGTCGCTGCGTGGGTGCAGGAGGCCACTGGCCTCGAGAGAGAGGTGGTGAGAAGGAAGCTCCAGGAAGGGGGGGTGGAGGAGGCAGTACGTTTCTCTTTCAAATACGCAACGATTCGCTCCATCTTTGGCACCCCCATGTTCGTGATCAACCAGATGCTGGTGCCTGGGTTGGACGGTGGGAGTGACGTGATGGATTGGGAAGAGTACTTGGCGCCTTTACTGACACAAATGGCCAGGGAAAGCTGAGGAAGGGGTTGTCTAGTGTTGAGAGATATGCCTTGTGCTGTGCACTGTAAACACATTTGGAGAGACAGATTCCTGAGTCTGGGGGCAAATATTGTATAGGAAAATAGAAACTCTTAACGCCGCAATCACTGAGCTGTGGCTGCTTTTCGAGGTTTTCAGGGTACGAAGCCCCATGTACATGGCCGAAAAATGCAATATGTATGACTAGATTTTTACCCAGTGAATTCATCAACTTACGTCTGAGGTTGAATGAATGACACAAAAGACAGCTTCTTTCAATGTCGACAGAAAAGAAAAAGGGCTTCTAAAAAGAAACATGGCAGGCTCAAACAGGGTCAGAACATTTGTGATGTCGACGGTAGGACTTGAAGAGACACTTACCAGGACATGTCTTTTTAAAGCATGGTCGAAGTTTCTTTGTCATCGTGGTCGATGATACTCTCTCTGATGTCTGTGACTGCCCCTCGGCAGGACGAACTGGTATCTCGTCGGCAATGAGCCTTTCTCTTTCTCGAGAAGAGGCGAGAGGAAGGAGGGAGATTACGGGCCGTACAAATGCACAAACCCGCATACTTCGATCACACTTGCGACCAAAACACAAGATTCACTTTTTCCTGCTTGTATGGATATTTTTCCCAGTTTCGGGGCCCCTCGAACGGAAGACAGTGCTCCTTGTCATTTGCATCCTTCCCATTCAAAATTTTGAATGTCGGTTCCTTTCCTTTCTTCCCGTTTCGGGAGGCGTTTCGCATCCTGCGTAGTCATATCAAAATGGTTTCGTGTGCAAGACTTGCCAGAAAGGTGATGATCGAGCGCATCATGAGCCTTCGATTATGATGAAGACTTATTTCATTCATTTGCACACTAGTTGCTCGTTTCAGAGACACCATACATGCTTTCTACGTCCAAGGCGTTACATGCCATTTAGGATTTCTTGTTCTCATTCTTCAACGTTGTATGCCATTTTCACTCCATTTATACGCAGCAATTCTAAATGAAGGCCATAATCCAAAAGGCCAACAATAATTTGAACAAATCCGAAGAGCAGAACCGTCGAAGTGTCCATCAGCATGAGTCAATTGCATTAGTTTCCAGAAACGACAGCAAACACGATGACGGGCTGGAGATGGAAGACACGGGCAGGGACGAACAGCAAGAGCAATCAAACAAATCAACCCCAGGGTATATCATGAGCATGGCCAATACTATGGCGACAGGGGCAGGCGAGCGACACCGTGAAACGCCACGTCAAGAGCCCAACAATTACCAGCCCGGCGGCCCAGGACAGGAACAGCGTGCTCTCTCATCTCCGCCCTACAGGCAAGCGACAGCATCGCCACATGACGGTAGGGGCAAGCCCTTACCACATGACGCCACCCCAACGGAGGCCCCTGCCCCCAACCCCAGGGAGGGACAGACCGCTGGAGAGAGCAGCACTAGTCTCCAAACCTCTATCAGTGCAACCGTCAGCCACCATGCGGAGGAAAACGCCCACCTTACACCGTTGTCGCGTAGCAGGAGCGGGAGCAGTCCCTCCTTATCTTCCACCGGGTCCATGGAGCACGACGTCCAACCGGCCCGGGGCAAGAAAAGCGGGAGGCGGGGGCCCCGCGGGCGGGGAATCCACCACCCAGGTGGGTACTCGTCCTTGCCTGCCTCTCACGGGACCGAGCAGGGATCGAACCTGCCCAGCAAGATGAATATCGTGGCCAATCTTGCCTATGTCCGCAAGACCCAAGAAGTCGTGAGCTTGCGCCATTTGTCCATGGGGGGCCCCGTGTGGACCAAGATCCTCGGCATGATTGCCGGGGGAACGGTCACGGGACATGAATGCTACGGCCTCGCTGCCTCTTTTTCCTTTTTTTCCTCCTCCCCTCCCCCTTCCCCAACTCTTCTCCTCCTCCTTGTCCTCCACCAAGGTCTCTGCCTCCTGCTCGGCTTCTCTCTCCTCCTCCTCGAATGTCGCTCCGTCTTTTGCAGCACCTTCCTGCACAAGAAAACCCGGGAATATTTTAAATTTCTCTCCTATTTGTGGGGACGGGGCCTTCTCTACCTCGTCACCGGCGCCCTCCTCGCCCTACGTTTCTTGTCCCCTCCCACTGCTTCCCCGCCCGCTGCATCTCTCCTTTTCTCTCCTCCCTCCTCCTCCTCCTCCAGCCCCCCTCTCCCTTCCCCGACCTACCTGGACTCCTTCCTTTCCCTCTATCTCGCCCTCCTTGGCGCCCTCCTCCTCCTTCTCAGCCTCCACTACGCCCGTCG